ATTTTGAAAACGGCCCGCCCTCAATCCGAGAAGCTCTTGCAAATGTTAATTAAAACGGATGCGCGCGGAGCTGAGGCGCGAACAACATTTCGAACATTGACCGCCCCAAATCCGAGAAGCTCTTGCAAACGTGTGAAACGAATGCGCGCGGCGCTGAGGCGAGAAATGCATGTTTGAAGCGACCCGCAGTCCATCTGTAACGCCGGGCCCGCCCGTCCGACTGGCCTCCTGGTGCGGCAGGGAGGGGTGATTCATACGGAACGGGATAGCGAAGGAGGGGAAGGAGGAGGAGGACGAGGAGGAGGATGAGGAGGAAAAGGAAGAGGGGGAGGAGGAGCAGGAAAAGCAATGCAAACACAATACACCCTCCCTCCAAGCTCACTTTCCATCGACCCTACAAAGGTTCATTGGCACTGCAAGAAAAACCCGCTGGGACACAACCGTGAACATCTGGAAGCGTGCCAAAACATCATTTCCAGGACTTCAGCGCCAATTGTCAGTCTGAATGTTGCGTCTGATACGGAATCGTGCCAAAACGCCGTCCCTGGGATTCCAAAACACAGTGAATCAACGTATTGTTGCGCCATGACAATCCCGAATCGCTCCAACATTCAAGTTCTGGTACTTTGACCATGAGCAACCGCGAAACTCTGCAACTTGTTGAAACGAATGAGCGCGGCGCTCGGGCGATAAACACATTTTGAGAACGAGCCGCCCTCAATACGAGACACCCTGGCAACCTTTGAGAACAAACATGCGCAGATTAAAACGAAGACCACATCAAGAACATAAACCACCCTCAACCCGTGAAGCTCTTGCAACCATCACAACGAATGTGCGCGGCGCTGAGGCGAGAGCCACAGTTTGACAACCACCCGCCCTCCATCTCCGAAGCTGTTGCCAGGTTCTGAGCGTCAGGTTCGTCAGTAGCGAGGAACTCTCAGGCGTAATGCCCGGCCAGCCCTTCCGAGTGGCGTCGGGGTGCGGTAGGGAGGAGATCTTCATAAGGACAATGAAAGGAGGAGGAGGAGGAGGAGGAGGAGGAGGAGGAGGAGGAGGAGGAGGATAAGGAGGAGGATAAGGAAGAGGAAGAGGAGGAGGAGGAGGAGTTGCAAGAGGAGGAGGGGGAGGAATTACGGAGTTACGGATCTTGTGACCATGTCGGTTAATGCCTGGCTGGACTTAACACCTCGCCTTAACTGTAGCCCGTCTGGCCTCCCCAGACGCAATATAGACCTTCGGCCACTTGCCCTGCGAAATGTTAAGCAAATAACCGACCCGATTACCCGTGCAATGTCCTGGGGCATCATCCGTCCTCTTCTGCCACCTCCTCATCCTCACCTTCTATTCCTCCTCTCGATCATCATCATCAACAGCAACACCATCATCGTCATTGACGACGACGACCACCACACCATCGTTGGACAACGTATGCCTCCTCTTCTTGTCCCTTCGGCCCAATGCCTCCTCCTACTCACTCCCACAACCATCATCATTCTGCTCCCCCCATCCTCATCCACCACCTGTTATTCTACGTTCACCTCCCCACGCTCCTCATACATGTCCCCATCATCGTCCTCCTGTTCCCCCTCATCGTCAGTGCTCCTCCTCGTCCTCCTCGTCCTCTCCTCCTGCCCCTGGTTCTGCGCATCTTCCCCTCCCCCGCCACGTCCCATTACCCTCCTTCGTGCTCCGCCTCTTCCTGACGTTCCTGGTCCTTCTCATCCTCCTGATCATTCTCCTCTGTCTGCTCCTGATCCTCCTTGTCCTATGTTCCTCGTCCTGCTGCTGCCCCTCCGCCTGAACAACCCGCCTCCCCCTCCCCGTCCTCCTTCGATGCTCCCTCCTCTTCACGCGGTTCCTCCTCCCCCTCCTCTGTCCCCGTCCTCCTGCTCCTCTTCCTGACCGCCATCATAATCACACTCGTCCAAGCTCATCCTTCCACCTCAGGCGTATCTACCTCCCACTTCGCCTGCCTCCTCTCCCACTTTCTCCTCCTCCTCCTCCTCCTCGTCCTCCTCGTCCTCCTCCTTCTCCTCCTCCTCACTCATTCCCCCCCTCCTCCTCCTCCTCCTCCTCCTCCTCCTTCTCCTCCTCCTCCCTCTCCTCCCTCTCCTCCTCCCTCTCCTCTCCTGCAGCCGAAAAGAATCTCCCCCGCCCTCCTCCGCTGCCTCCTCCTGCTTGCTCCCGCATCGCCTGCGCCAGAGCGGCAGGGTCGGGGTCCGCCCACATGGGCCACTGGCCCTCGTCGCTGTCGCCGTGCGGCACGTCCACCAGCTCGTAGCCCAGCAGCACCTGCAGAGGGAGGCTCGGCTCGGCTCGGGCCCCGCGGGTGTCTCTGCCGTAGCAGCGCTGCACTCGACGCCCTGGGCGTCGTCTGCGCGACCGTCGAGACCAGTGGCCAGATCGACCTTACTGGCCGCCTGGCCTCTCGGGCTCGGCCCCTGTGCTGCCCCCGCGTGCGGCTCCCCACCCTGGCGCGCCTGGGGAGCTCGGGGGGGGGACTTTACAGTAGGGGCCCGACCACAAGAAACCTTGCACGAGAAACCCAACCCTGAGACCCCAGGACGTCCATTGATGTTTGGTGTGGGAGCGTCACGCTGTCCATAACAGAGCCAGGGAACCCCGAGAAACCCAGGGCACCCTGGAGGCAAGCAGGGTGTTTCTTGGCACGGGCCCCCACTGTAGAACGCAACTTCTGGGAAATGTTCGTGGAACCGGCTAAAGGCGACCAGGCCCGACCAAGGGGCCACGCCGCCAGACTCAGGCAGATCGGGCCCAAGGTCCAGACCCCGCGAGATGGAGCCTGATTGCACGGGATGCGGCCGATACTGAGGGAGACCTCCCAGAATGTGCAACACAGGAGGGAGGGCGAGAGGGGGGAGGAATGGATGTTTACCAAAGGTTCCCCAAACAGTGCGTGTAGGCAGGGGCTTTCAGTTACCTATCCTCCGCCGAGCTTCTTTTTTGTTGAGCTCAACGCCAACACCTCTCAAGCTCTGCGGGCGCCACCACCATGACAAGGACGATTGGTGGTCTCCAAACCAGGTGGTGAGACACCCGGTGGTGACCCCGATTCCCCCAAAAGATAATTCTGGGTCACCACCGGGTTTGGGGACACGCGGTCGCCACGAGGTTTTGCGTTTCCTGGGCCAGCCAGCGCTCGAAAACCATTTCCCAAATCGCCCAAAACTCACCACCGGGTGTTCTCACCACCACGTTTGGGGACCACCAAGACGAGCACCCCGGCGAGGCAGAAGATCCTCCACCGAGCCGGGCCCGGAAGCAGCCCCGGCGGCCCCAGCTCGGTCCGTCGCCGCAGCTTTTCTCAGTGGGGGGGGGGGGGCGGCCAGCGATGAGGGCAGAAGGGAGGAGGAGGAGGAGGAGGAGGAGGAGGAGGAGGAGGAGGAGGAGGAGGAGGAGAGGAGGAGGAGGAGGAGGAGGAGGAGAAGGAGGAGGAGGAGGAGGGAGGAGGAGGGGGAGGGGGAGTGCAGCGGCGCGGCGGCTCCCTCCCGTCCGCGCCGCCGCCCCGCTGCACCCCCCCACTGCACTGCAAGCACACTGCGCTGGAAGCGCACTGCGTGTGCGTTGCGATCGACATGCGTTTACGTTGCAGTCGCATTGCCTGGCATTGCCTTCCGTTGCGTGGCCTTGCACTGCTTCGCATAGAGTTGCTGTGCATTGCTCTGCAGTGCCTTGCGCTGCCATTGTTTGCATTGCTGTGTATTGCGTTACGATGCGTTGCGATGCGTTGCGACGCGCTGCATTGCCGTGCAGTTAATTTCCTTACATTGTGTTGCGTTGCTGCGCATGGTCCTGCACTGCTTTGCAGTGATGCTCCTTTCTAAAAGAAATTGAAATCCCTTTGGGTGTGCCGCTTCCCCCTGGGATAATACAATGTACAAATGGTTCCGCTCCATAGTTCATTTTATATATGGATCCATACCGTCCCAGCCAGACCCTTATCGGCACTGCCCTTTTCATTCACCAAAATTAATAATATGCGCGGACACTCGTTTTTCACATATCACGCATTTTCAAGCATCCCTTACAACAGATGGAACGAAATACACACGCACGCGGCGTCGCGCGCGCATGCAAACATTCCCTCCGACAGCAAAGGCTTCGTGACTTCGTCGATATTTCAAGGCCGATGCTCCCGAACGTGTATGCAAATCGATGGGTTCGCAACATGTTGTTCCAACACAACCTGCGCGCGCTCTTGCGAATCTGAACGAGCCCATGCTTGTTTCCCTCTTGTCCACATGCGGGCATCCCGCGCGCATGTCGAAATCATTCGCACGACCCTGCGCGCTTGCGCGGGGTGGGGGTGCACGGTCGAGATCGTGCCTGCCGTTTGGGGAGATACCCTCCTTCAGGCTTCCCGCCTCAGAACCGTCAACAGGAAGGCTGGTTCAAACCTTGGCGCGGGCACGGAATTGTCACGAAACCAGAGGCCTCCTAGATGGGGTCCGAGTAGATGGGGTCGAAGGATCGCGCCGCATCGGCGATGCATCGGCGACGTCGGCGATGTATCGGCGACGACGGCGTGGGGCAACACGGTCTCCACATCGAGCCGCATCGTCGATGCATCGGCGATGCGGCGCGAACCTCCGACCCCATCTACTCCGACCCCATCTGGGAGGCCGTGAGAAATCTCTCTTCGCCAACCTCGGTCCTGCACGTTTGGGTGTGATTGGTGACACGGTCTGCCGGGCAATGGATGTCACAAATAACCTTTGGGGTGCCGCCTCTCCCGCTATGAGGCGTGTGTGTCCGCAGGCTTCTCCGCGTCCGGGGCAGCGACACTCCTCGCCGAGAGCGCTCCAGGGGGTTGCCCTTGGTCGTCCCCTTTGGGGTGCGGGGGGGCAGCATCGGTCCCCCGAAGTGTCGGCCACATTCGCTGGGCAGCCCTTGCCCCCTTCGTGGTCCACGCATCTGCGCTCCTTCCTGCAGGTTCTGATCACTACCTGGACCTGGAGTCAAAGCTGTGCATACGTTTCTTGTCTTCCCCAATCGCAGGACCTGCCGCGTAAACGGAAGGGCGGGAGGGGAGGGGAGAGGAGGGGACACTCATAGAACTCAGCAAAATCCCCACGAACCTGGCACAGTACGTGCAGTGCCGGGGATGGCGGACCGTCTTCCCATCCTGCCATCAAAGGGGGATGCGAAGTCCCGGAAAACGGGACGGGGTCGGCACAGGTTGGTATCATAGCCGATCCACTACCCATAGAGGCATCAAAGCCTCTGGACCGCAATTGCGAATCACTTCAGGATCATGTGGACAGAGAGGAGGGTGGGGAAAAGAACGAGGGATCGAGGTGGTGATGAAATTAACCTCAGATATGGTCGAAGCCTACGAACGCAGCGCAGGTATAACATACGCCCCTCGCTCTTCCGCAGACTACTCCGCTACCCCTGTCTTCAATTTTTTTTGCCTTCCATTGAGTTTCTCCTCGATCCTGCGCCTACAATGCAGTAGTCGCGTTGGTCCCAATATTTCTCTGAATGAGAGAGCCCGCCAGAGGGCAGAGCATGTCGGAACACGTTTGGAAAATAAAACTGATCGAGCGCCGGGCTACTTCTTGGCGGCGTCCGCGTCGGTGTTCTTGTGGGCCGTGTGGTCCGTCGGCTTCTTGTAGGCCCGGAGATCCAGGGTCCTGAAGTACTCGATCGTCTTGACGAGGCCCTCGCGGAGCTGCGTCGTCGGCTCCCATTGCATGAACGTCCTCGCGCGCGTAATGTCTGGCCGGCGCTGCTTCGGGTCGTCCCCCGGCAGGGGCAGGTGGATTATCTTACTCTTGCTCCCCGTGAGCTCGATCACCAACTCGGCCAACTGCCTCACGGTGAACTCGTTCGGGTTGCCCAGGTTCATTGGCCCAACAGTCTTCTCCTGCTCCATCAACCTGATCAGGCCATCCACAGTGTCGTCCACGAAAGTGAATGACCGCGTCTGCTGCCCATCGCCGTAGAGTGTGATGTCCTCATTGTGTAGCGCCTGCATGATGAAATTGGTGACCACTCGGCCGTCATACGGGTGCATACCTGGACCGTAAGTGTTGAAAATACGCGCCACCCTGATGTCAACGTTGTGCTGCCGCATGTAATCAAAGCAGAGCGTCTCCGCGACGCGCTTGCCCTCGTCGTAGCACGACCTGACGCCGATGGTGTTCACGTGTCCCCAGTAGGCCTCGGTCTGGGGGCTCACCTCCGGGTCTCCGTAGACCTCGCTGGTGGAAGCCTGCAGGATGCGCGCTTTCACGCGCTTGGCCAACCCCAGCATGTTCATCACGCCAAGCACTGATACTTTGGTGGTCTTGATGGGATTGAACTGGTAGTGCACTGGCGACGCTGGGCAAGCCATGTTGTAAATCTGGTCGCACTCGCAGAAGAATGGCTCCGTGACGTCGTATCGAATGAGCTCGAAGCGAGGGTGGCCGATCAGATCGGAGATGTTGGTGCGCTGGCTGGTGAAGTAGTTGTCAAGGCACATGACCTCGTGGCCCTGCGCCAGCAGCCTCCTGCACAGGTGCGAGCCCAGAAAGCCAGCGCCGCCGGTGACGAGGATACGTTTGAACTCGGCCGGCTTCTCCAGCTCGCACCTCGACGGGGTGGAGTACGCGATGTCTGGCGGCGCGCAAGAGGGATAGACCTCTGATCCCCACTAAGTGGCCCCCAACCTTCTCAGGAGGCCGCCCCCCCACGCCCTGACACTCGACCAAAAATCCGCTCGAAATTGGCACCCACTCGTTTGGACGCCAGAAGTGGGTACAGAAAAAACGGCTACGATGCTCAACAGCAAACGTTGCCCACAACCGGCAGCGGCTGCTTTGGGGCAGGCGGCCTTCTGTATCACATGGACAACGTCCGCAGCGACGCCAACGAACAAAGTTCAAAATGGAAAGGAACTGCTGCCGGTCTTCGCCCAGTCGGGCTGGTGACATGAGGAACGATCGATTAACAAAGAAACTCCTTTTAGGCCCCAAGCGCGCCTGCGTGCACGAGGAGGGCCGGAGGAGCAGCCAAGGAAGGAAAGACCTCAGGAGTGTCGAGCCCCTTTCGAACCCGAACTGCTCATTATCTCAGCGTCTTGGCTGCACTCGACTACACGCAGGAGTGACCCTGGCTTAGAGTGACCTGTGGTTCGCGGCTTTTGGGTGGCCGCGGGGGGGGCAAACGCAAGCGCGCAAGACACTACTACCACACCGCGTTCGGCGATCAGGGGACCCCGTTGGGCCCGCCCCAAAGGTCACTCCAGCGAAAGGTCACTCGTACGTGTAGTCTTTCTTTCTTCTTGCTTTCGAGAGGGACAATGCTCCACAGAGCTATCCTAGAGATCCATTGCACAACATCACAGAATGTACATGCTCCTCACGACCCTCACTCGCTTGCACCAGCGAAACATTTCGACGGTTGTGTTGACGCTTCCGACGGTTACGTGTAGTCGACGTACTCCAGATTTCGTAATAAAGGGAGGGGGGTCTCATTTCGGGGGGGGGGTCTCTTCCAGGCTATCTTGGAGGGCCTGGGGGGGTCTGGGGACGATGTTTTGGAGGGTTCTCCCACGGGGGAGGTCTGAAATGGCTTGTCTTGGAGGGTCCAGACCCCCTCCCTTTTATTACGAAATCTGGAGTACCCACTTCGATCGTACCGAACAGTCCGCTCGAAGCTCGGGCCCCTCCCGAGGCCCTCTCCCAGCCCGCTCCCGTGGGCCACGCGCTGCATGGGGCAGCGGGCACACACACAGAGGCGCCCGGGCGGTGCCCAGAACGACGGAGCCGCCGCCGACGGCAGCGCCCCAGGACCTCCTGAGGTGCACCCTCGCTGACCCCCAACCGGACCACCCCAACCGAACCCGAAGACCCAAGTTTCGGGTGTGTGTGTGGGGGGGGGGTACGGGTTCCACGTGTGCTTTTTTCGATGTTCCCCGACCCCGCCCCCCAAAGGAAGTCCAGGGTACATTTGGGCCTTCGGGCTGGGGTTGGGGTGGCATGGTGGGTGGGAGCTCACCGAAGGACTCCTGCCAAGGCCACGCTAACGGCGAGGTTGGTTCACGGCGATGTTGGGACTATGGATTCCGCGGCGCCGAGCTCGCACAGAACCAGTTGCAGGACATCGCACCCCACTCGGCTACACGCATTAGGGGTCCTAGGCAAGAGTGACCTTAGTGCGCGGCCAAAGTGCGCGGCCAAGGGAGGCCTTTTGGGGGCACCACCAGGCGCGAAAGCAGCTGATGTCGCACCGCGTTCAGCGATCGGGGGGCCCCACTGGGCCCGCACCAAAGGTCACTCTGGCGAAAGGTCACTCCTACGTGTAGTCGGCCCACACGCTCCTGCGTGTCGACAACGCGAACGTGTCGAGCAGGGGCGGCACGGAACATGGCAGGACACCACGAACACGCTTGCCTACAAGCGGGCCGGCCAGGAACCGTCCCCACCTAAACTTAGGTCGGGCATGACCCCCTACAGGCGGATTTTGGGCGAAATGAAAAAACGAATCAGAACAAATCAACTTACACCAAAGAGAAACCCCAATCAGTGGATGGTTTTTCGCTGAGGAGATCGACCGGGAACCCGGGAGCCCGGGAACCCAGAACCCTCCGAAATCGGCCCAAAACCAATAACCAGGAACCCGGGAACCCAGAACCGGGAACCCGGGAACCCAGCGTGCGACCAACATCGGCGGGACACTTTCGCCAAATCTTTCAACTTCCGCGAGGACCCCTTCAGTGCAAGCACTGATTGAGGAAACTAATCAAAACATGATCGAAAAATCGTCCCCAGACTATTTTGTGGCTATGTTCGAATATTCCTCCTGTAGAGGAACGTGCCCGACTTAAACCTACGTTGCCGAAGCCTAGATTGCCGCTGCCTGCCTCGCCGTGAGCGTGTGCCTACGGCCCGGGGAGGCCTGGGGAAAGGCAAGGCCTCAAAAAAGCTATCCCGCCTTAGGTCGGGCATGTCCTCCCCCAGGCGGATTCTGGGCGAGCCATAAAAATAGCCAAACAATGCTCACTCAGAGTGAAAAATAAAAGAAAAATCGTCCCCAAACCATTCTTGGACTATTTTTGAATTTTCCTCCTGTAGAGGTACATGCCCGACTTAAACCAGCCCCCTCCCCAGACCCCCGACGTCGTGATTTTCTCACAACGTCGACCCCCACAGGTCTGGACTCCTTCCTGGGGGCCGGTTTTTCGTCCTGATTAGTTTCTTCGAGGGTCCCGAGGCCCGATAGGGGACCCCAGAAGCCGACAAGGGAGAGAACAACAACTCCCGTCTGGACTTTTTCAAAACGCTAGGGGGTCTGGGCCTTGAGTTGAGCGGGGACACACCGTCCCGGCATTCCTATAGGCCTACTACGAAATTTTCTTAGTACCCGATAATGTTCTAAGAACACAAACAATGTTCTTATAACATAATCCCGATGTGCAAAATAAGACTGTCCCAGCCAGAACTGATCTAAGACAATTTCATAGAAAGACGTGGACCTCAGAGGAAGGCGCGGGCGCTGCCGGGGGAATGGTCAAGCACCGGCCCAAGAATTCCGCACGGACACTCGAAAGGGTACGTTTATCAAGGGACCCAAAGACACACAAATAACTACAGTACACACGAAGCCCAGGATTCCCCACAAGTGTGTTTCAACATTTTCTGGAGTTTGATCTTCCTCCCCGCACTTCCTGTGTTTTCGAATATCTTCCTGGGAGTCGACGATTACTTGTGTCTGTGTGTTTTCCCCTCCTGAATGATGCTGTTTGTTGTTCCTCGAACCCTGCTCTCTTCCTGGGAGCCGGCGTTTCTTTCCGAGCATCTTTTGGCGACGCGCAGAGGGGGTAGAGGGGAGGGGGAAGGCTTCCTCGGAGGCTGCTCTTAAAAGGCGCCAGCACTACATCTGTAGAGGAGGCCCGCACCTTCTAAGAAGCAGGGGTGTTCCTAAGAAGCCTCCCCCCCTACCCCCATACCCCTCTCCGCGCGTGGCTGACTCTTGCCACCAGTGCCGAGGGCCCCGCGAGGGCCCGCAGAGGCCGAACATCGCCCCCAACCTCCCGGCGTGACGTCGCACGAAGCGGGGGGGCCGAGCTTTCGGGCCGCGGCCCCGGCCTCCAGCGGCCTCTCTCGGGACGGCCTTGGCCCCCCCGGGAGGGCTCTGCGCGGCGCCGCTGCAGTAAGGTATCCCGAGGCTGGACAGCCTCCGAGAGCCGACGAACTCGTCCGACAACCCTGGGCCTAACCCACGCCCGTCGCCTCGCCTGCTGCTTCCGCGGGCCCTCCGCGAGCCAGGCGGCCATCAAGCAAATGCTCAGGATGAGGAACATCGGGAGCGGCCAAGAGGGGGGTGTCCAAGAGGGGGGGGTGCAAATCATGACCGGCGGCATGTGCGCGGCCCAGCGGGGGGGCCAGGGACGTAATGAAATAATAAGAGGCGCCATAAAATCTGGGAAATATCATGGCCCCCGCCATGATATCCACCCCCCCCCCTAGTCATCACCCCCCTCTTTTCCGCCCCAGAGAACAGCCAACGCCGCAGTTTCCATAGAACAGGTGAGCAGACGTGGTCGCGGAGGGAAGCAGCAGCAAGCTCATCAAAAAATGCCTTGGCAAGACTGCCACACAGAATAGGAGCGGCACTCCATCAGTGTAAAAAGCACAACTCGCATAGGCGCCAAAGTCGTGAAACCGGGCCTCGACCCTGCAACTTCAGCGTGGGGGTATGGGCCCCCTCGTGCGCGCCACCACGATGTGCACAGGCTGGCTCCGCCGCTCCTTCTGGCTGCTCGCAAGAGTGGCCAGGTCACGAGCGACCCAGGGCAAGCCCTTGGTGCGCGGCTTTGAGTGGGCCGGGGGCGGGGGCCTCACCCAGGCGCGCAAGACGCTGCTGTCGCACCGCACTTAGCAAGCGGGGGAACTCAGCGGACCCGCGCTCCAAGGTCGCTCCAACGACGGGTCACTCCTGTTTGGACGCCCGAAATGGGCACGGAAAGAATGGGTACCATGCCCAACAACAAATGTTGTCCCAAACCAACAGCGGCCGCTGTTGGGCAGGCGGCCTCCAGTCTCGAATGGACACAGGCCGCGGCGGCGTGGACAGCGAGGCCTGTTCAAAATGAACAGGAACTGCTGTTGGGCATTGTGCCCATTCTTTCGGTACCCATTTCGGGCGTCCAGATCCTGCCTGTGCCAGCTAGAGACCAGAGACCCGGTGTTGTGCCCCGGGAAGTCCCAGCTCTTTTCCCAGGGCCGGCGCCTCATGCTGGGCCCTTTGCTGGCGTGCCCCCTGGGCCAGGCCAGCACACGCGCGAGCGACCCCAGGCACGAGCGACCTTTCCTGCGCGGCCTCGGTGGGGGGCCGGCCGAGGGCAGGCCAGCTCCCAGCGCGCAGGCCAGGGCCGCACGGGGACCCCTGCGCACCCACGCGAACGGAGAGAGAAAGGTCACTCCTACGCGCAGCCGGCTCTTGCGCGCAACCGCTCCTTCTGGGGCGCCTCGCCACCCGGCGGCGCCCGTCGCCACGACGGCAGCGCCTGCCCCGCGGCGGCAGCGGCCAGCGGCGCCGCAGCGGCGAGGCCGACGCGGTAGGAGCCGCCCGCCAGGCGCCACATCGCAAAGGCCGGCTCGAAGTGTGCCGCCGCGGGGGGCGGAGCGACGGAGTCCAGAAGCGGCGGGGGCGCCCTAAGCCGAAGCGGCTGCGGGCGCGGGGGCGGCAGGAGGTGAAGGAGGAAACGAGGACGAGGACCAGAGGAGGCGAGGACGAGCGCCAGAGTCGTGCGCGCCCCGCTGGGGAGCCCGCCCGTGCCCATCAGGGCATGGTGTGCAAGAGGAGGAGGAGGAGGAGGAGGAGGAGGAGGAGGAGGAGGAGGAGGAGGAGGAGGAGGAGGAGGAGGAGGAGGAGGAGGAGGAGGAGGAGGTGGGGGCGAAAGGGGGGGAAAGGACAGGAAGGAGGAGGAGCAGCAGCAGCAGCAGCGGTTTTCATTGGTGGTAGCTGTGCTCCCCCGCGCCTCCAGGGGACCTCCGACGAGCAGGAGGACGAGGAGGAGGAGGACCAGTGTAAACCCAAGAGGCATCAACGATGTTGGAATAAACCCTCCCTCCAAGCTCCCTCTTCATAGGCCCCTAGAACGGTTCAATTGAAGGAACTGCCTCGTTGGAAGACAACCGTTTGAAGACCCTGCAGCATGCCAAAACACTGTTCTCGGGATTCCAACGCCACGGATCAATCTGACTGTTGCGTGTTGACGATCCAGAATCGTGCCAGGACGCAATTCCTGGGGCTTGAACACCGCGAATCAACATAACCTGTGCACCGTCATAAGCCTGAATCTTTCCAAAACACAATTTCTGGTACGTTGATCCTGGGACTTCGTAGTAGCCTTGTAAATTATGTGAACGAATGTGCGCGGCGGTAAGACGAAAACCACATTTGACAAGGAACCGCCCTCAATCCGGGAAGCTCGTGCAACATTGTGAAACGAATGCGCGCGGCGCGAAAATCACATGTTGAAAACCACTCGCCCTCAATATGTGAAACTCTTGCAAGTTTTCAAAATGAGTGTGCGCGGCGCTAAGGCGAGAACCACAATTTGAAAACCACTCGCCCTCAATCCGCGAAACTCTTGCAACGTTTGAAGGCGAGTGTGCGCGGCGCTATGGCGAGAGCCTCATGTTGAAAATCACTCGCCCTCAATCCGTGCAACTCTTGCAATTTTTGAAGGCGGCTGTGCGCGGCGCTGAGGCGAGAGCCACATGTTGACAACCACTCGCCCTCAATCCGCGAAGCTCTTGCAATTTTGCCCCAACCCTCCTTGGTTGGGTATTTGTTTTGAATGGAGCACCGCGGTCGCGTCTCCCTCCTCCTCCTTCCGCCTCCCGCCATTTGCCTGCCTTCTCTTCGCCGTCTCTGAGGGGCTGCGATCTGCGAAACTGTCGCCTCTTTCGAATGCTGCTGGTAGTTCCAGCGGGGTGAGGCACCGCGCGGACCTGAAGCAGACCTCGCCGCCCCTGGGGGGCTGCGATCTGCGAAACTGTCGCCACTTTCGAGGGCTGCTGGTGGGTCCAGCGGAGTGGGGCACCAAACTGGCCTGAGGTCGACCTCGCCGTCCCTGGGGGGCTGCGGTCTGCTAAGCTGCCGCCTCTTTCGAAAGCTGCTGGTGGGTCCAGCGGAGTGAGGCACCGCGCGGACCTGAGGTAGGCCTCGTCGTCCCTGGAGGTCTGCGATCTGCGAAACTGTTGCCACTTTCGAAGGCTGCTGGTGGGCCCAGCGGAATGAGACACCGCGCGGACCTGAGGCAGACCTTGCCGTCTCTGGGGGGCTGCGGTCTGCGAAACTGTCGCCACTTTGGGGGGCTGCTGGTGGGTCCAGCGGGGTAAGGCACCGCGCGGACCTGAAGCAGACCTCGCCGCCCCTGGGGGGCTGCGAGGGGCTGCGATCTGCAAAACGGCTGATGGTGGGTCCAGCGGAGTGAGGCACCACGCGGACCTGAAGTAGACCTCGTCGTCTTTGAGGGGCTGTGATCTGCGAAACTGCCGCCACTTTCGAGGGCTGCTTGTGGGTCCAGCAGAGTGAGGCACCGCGCGGACCTGAGGTACACCTCGCCGTCTCTGAGGGGCTGTGATCTGCGAAACTGTCGCCTCTTTCGAATGCTGCTGGTAGTTCCAGCGGGGTGAGGCACCGCGCGGACCTGAAGCAGACCTCGCCGCCCCTGGGTGGCTGCGATCTGCGAAACTGTCGCCACTTTCGATGGCTGCTGGTGGGTCCAGCGGAGTGAGGCACCAAACTGGGGGGCTGCGGTCTGCTAAACTGTCGCCACTTTCGAGGGCTGCTGGTGGGTCCAGCGGAATGGGGCACCACGCGACCTGAGGTAGACCTCGCCGTCCCTGGCAGGCTGCGGTCTACTAAACTGTCGCCACTTTCGAAAACTGCTGGCGAGCCCAGCGGAGTGAGGCACCGCGCAGACATGAGGTAGACCTCGCCGTCCCTGGGGGGCTTCGATCTGCGAAACTGTCGCCACTTTCGAGGGCTGCTGGTGGGTCCAGCGGAGTGAGGCACCAAGCGGACCTGAGATAGACCTCGCCGTCCCTGGGGGGCTGCGGTCTGCTAAGCTGCCGCCTCTTTCGAAAGCTGCTGGTGGGTCCAGCGGAGTGAGGCACCAAGCGGACCTGAGCGAGACCTCGCCGTCCCTGGGTGGCTGCGATCTGCGAAACTGTCGCCACTTTCGAGGGCTCCTGGTGGGTCCAGCGGGGTGAGGCACCGCGCAGACCTGAGCGAGACCTCGCCGTCCCTGGGGGGCTGCGATCTGTGAAACTGTCGCCACTTCCGAGGCACCGCGCACACCTGAGGTAGACCTCGCCGTCCCTGGGGGGCTGTGATCTGCGAAACTGCGCCACTTTCGAGGGCTGCTGGTGGGCTCGCCACTGTCGAAGGCTGCTGGTGGGTCCAGCGGAGTGAGGCACTGCGCAGACCTGAGCGGGACCTCGCCGTCCCTGGGCGGCCATGTCATGGTGTTGCTGCCCCGCCGTCGCTTCAAGCCCCTTACCCACAGTCTCCTTTAGGACCTTGCGTCTTCCTGAGTGACTCAGGGGTTCACTTAGTTACTCATCGTTTTCCCCTTGATTGGGGACCTGCGAACCTTCCGAATGCCGCTCGCAGAAATATATGCGTCCATGTCACGTCGCCGCCTTCTCGTCAAATCTCCCAAGCTACTCCTGCCCCGCATTGCGCAAGGGTTGGGTACGTCGCCAGGGAAATTAGGCCGAGTGCGCGCGGCGCTAAGGCGAGAGTCACATTAATCCACCCGCCCTCCATCTGTGAAGCTGTTGCCAAGTTTTAAGCTTCAGAACCATAATTGGTGAGGAAGTGTCAGGCGAAAAGCCCGGCCGGCCCCAAAAACTGGCCTCGGGGTGCGGCAGGGAGAAGTTACTTATAAGGAGAGGGAGTGGAGGAGGAGGAGAAGAAGGAAGAGAAGCAGGAGGAGAAGGAGGAGGTGAGGGAAGGCAATGGCGCTCAGAGGTCGCAGGTCCTAAAGACTAGAAGCAGAAGCACGACGCCAGCGTGGGTTGAGATGAATGCGGGATCCTCACACCTTGTGAGGTCCTGGCTGCCTGGAGCACCGGGCAGCGGCCGCGCAAGCGCGAGTTGAGCAACCAATAGGCCTGCCATTCAGGAGATCGCCCCGCTTCGAAAATTGACTGCCTTGCATCCATACGGCTGGTAATGAGGAGTGCGATGTGCAGGGTCGTAGAGGTCAAAGAGGTGCCACGCGAGAGCCCCGCTTTGGCAAGGCACTGCTCCCCATCTGCACTGCTGCGCAGGATTACTGTAAACGTCTGGACCGCACTCCATCCGAGCAACTGCTCCACCTGCCAGAGCGTCCAAAGGGACGGGTGGGGCGTGGCCCGACGCGCGGCCCCCGTGCGCCGAGCCCCCTTTCGCACCTCTCGATCCTCCCTTCTCTGCGCAGGGCCGGTGGGGACAGCGGCGGCGCTCCCGCACGGCCCACAAAGCCCGCCCACCACTTGGGGCGCCGCGTAATGTCGGGGGGGTCATAATCAAACGACGCGAAGATCGGGACAAAATCGGATCGGGGGCCAGAGCCGCTCATCTTTAGATTCGAGGGCGACGCTCTGAGGGCTATCGGGGGGAACCCCTTGGCGGCGGCGGCGGCTCGGGCGGCGCAAGGCGACGGCGCTGCGGGCCCCTTGGGAAGCTTCTGGGGACCTCTTGGGTGCTTCTCGGGGCTCGTGTCGGTTCTCGTGGGAGCCTGCTGGAGTAAAACGACGCGAAGATCGGGACAAAATCGGATCGGGATAACTCGAAATCTCTGAGAATCGGCGGGTTTGGAGGATGTAGTGGGCGCCGCGGCCGCTCCAGAGCGTTCCGGAACGCTCTGAGAGCGCTCCGGAACGCTCTGGAGCGATTTATCCCGATCCTAGCCCTGTTTTATGGAGGCCTCGGGACTCTGGGGGACTCAAGCGAAAGCCCTATGTTCATAGGGCCCGTCCTCCATCCCTGTACCTGTCACAGGCTTGTGGCGGGGATGTGCGCGGCGCCGGCGCGGGAGCAGCATGTCGAACACCACCCGCACTCCACCCGTGAAGCTGTTGGAGCTCCTGGACCGGCCTACGGACACGCCTGGTGGTTCGACAAGGGAGTTATGTCACGT